TCCTTTGCTGTCGTTTGAAGCCATTGTTCCATGTTCTAGTCTCCAGGGCAGCAGTTAATAGGATTGCTCTCTCCTCCCTATCACATTTTTATACATGGCCATCATATCTCCTCTCAACCTACTCTTCCATAGGCTAAACATGCCCAGCTCTTTAAGCCGCTCCTCAAAGAGTTGGATTGTATTATACAAAGGTTAGGAGTCATTGAAAATAAGGATAGACATGTGAAAGAAGGTAAAGAGCATTTTTATTCTAAACAAGAAAGAATAGCATCAGGCCAATATGCCATCACACAGCTTGGTCGTCATGGTTTGGGAAGGGGAAAGAGGGAAAGCTAGCAATATCAGCCAAGGCACACCTGCAGGGTTATCATACAGGATGATTCATACTCCTAATTACTTCCACTTTGAGAGAACTCAAGGGATTGAATGAGCATGTGTAATGTACTTTTTAAAAATCTGCAATATCTAACAAAGGGGCTGTTTTTCTGCTTCTAGATTCATGCATAGAATGATAACAGAGCTTATGCTGTACCACTCGCACATGAGATTGTGCCTTTCTGAATGAAAGTGCTATCACAGCCAGTGCTGTGTCTTATTTTGCACTATGTTCCTACATTCATCAATTGTTGTTATTGGTTATTTCACACTCACCAAATTTGCAGCATCAAAGTTCACAGGTCTCACCTCTACACTGTAGAATTAATGCATTTTGACATCACTTTAACTTTAACTGCCAAGGCTCAGTGTTATTACTTACTTTACTTACTTACTTAGGCGATCCCTTGTAGCCCAAAGATGATGGTCCTCCAAGTGTAGTGTCTTGGCGGTGGGTCCGTAGGTGGCTGTGGATACCTATTCTTGATCTGCATGTTCTCCCGCAGTGAGGACTTCAGTTTCCAGGGGGAAGGCGGTCCTGTTCAGGTTGGCTTGACACGCCTTCCTCTTGGCACATTTCTCCCTTTTGCCCTCCATTCATGCCTCTTCAAATTCTGCAGCACTGCTGGTCACAGCTAACCTCCAGTTAGAGTGCCCACGGGCCAGGGCTTCCCAGTTCTCAGTGTCTATGCCATAGTTTTTAAGGTTGGCTTTATGGCCATCTTTAAATCTCTTTTCCTGTCCACCAACATTACATTTCCCGTTCTTGAGTTGGGAGTATAGTAACTGCTTTGGGAGATGGCGATCAGGTATTCAGACAACGTGGACAGTCCAGCGGAGTTGATGGTGTAGGAGTATCACTTCAATTATGGGAGCCACCGTTTTACCAGGATTTTAGCTTTCTCAGCCCAGTAGTTCTGGTGCCTCATCAAACTACCAATCCCAGGATTCCATAGTATCGAGTCTCAACAGTTAAAGTGATGTTAAACTGCATTATGACTACAGTATAGATTCACCCTCTGAGATACTTGTATCTCATCGCACTTACAAGTTAAGATCCTAGCACTGGTAATTTCAAAATTATGATATGCCTTCTCTCAAAATAGTAGATTTCTTACTAAAAAGCAAACAAAGCAGTTAGTAATTCATCAGGGAGTTCATTTTTTTCTATTAGTAAATGTCTCTTCCCCCAAAAAGGGCCCTAGTATGCCTAAATCAGTTTCAAAATAGTGTGGAAGATTTTAGCCAACTATCATGGTTATTAAGAGATTAAGAGGAACACCTCGGAGGAAATAGGATGATCATATTGTAAATATCGTCTTTTGTTTATGCATTTATTTTTACTAGGCATCTCTTGCCTTTACTTCAAGGATCTGAAGCAATTTTACATTTATTTCTAATAATTTAGTAGTACCATACAGAATTATACTGAAAATGCACTTTAAAATAGAGAATGAATGACTGCATTCTGGAAAAATGACAGCGCACTGGCTAGAAATATGTGGTTAGGAAGGTAGGAACAGAGAGATGAGAAACAGGTCGAAGCAATTGAAGTCTGCTGGAGATGGGAGGGGACATGTCAAAGCAAAAGCTAGGTTGCCTGCTGACTTCAGATCGGATAAGAAGTATTTGCAGCCACAGGTGGTGTATTTCATGTTGGTCTTAAGTGTTTTTCACACCATAATCAAAAGGTAAAATGATGCCCCTGGAGCTCCCAAGTTCCTTTTCTTTATGCCATCCAGTGGAGGAGACACAGGCAAAGAATTCATTCACTTGAGTCACTTTGAGTCTCTTTGTGGAGAGAAAGAGCAGCGTATAAATAAGCATACTAATACTAATAATCTCTCTCTTTCTCTCTCACACACACTCCTATCAGAGTTCGTTCCCAAAAAAAACAGTTGTCCTGAGGGCATCTGGCAAAATAGTTTTGCAGTTGACAACCGATCTCACATACGAAGTGGGTTAAAAGACAGTCCTGCTTCTACTGCTATTTCATTTTATTTTATTGCAGGCTGAGTGAGTATCCCTTGTCCAGAATGCGTGGGAGCAGAGATTTTATGGATTTTTTTTAGTTTTTTAAAAAATTGGAATTCCATTATTTGCATATGTATGCAGAGTTAAATATCTTGATGACAGGATCCAAGTTTGAACATGAAATTCATATATGCTTCATACATATCTTATACATATAACCTGAAGGTAATTTTAGCACAGTATTTTAAAGAATTTGGTGCATGCAACAGAGCTTGTGTATACTGAACTATAAGAAAGCAAAGGTGTTGGTATCTTAGCCACCAATGTGGACAGTTTTGAATTTTGGAATATTTTGAATTTTGGAATTTTGGATTAAGGATGCTCAATTCGTATTTTCAAGATTTACAAGATTAATTGTAATGAGAAACCATGACAATGACTGTAAATGCTTAATAGGGCATTGTGATCTCAGATATGATATGAAGTGCTGTTTGTTAATGTACAGGCAGTCCCCAAGTTACGAATAAGATAGGTTCTGTAGATTTTTTCTTAACTTGAATTTGTATGTAAGTTGGAACAGGTACATTTTCATGGGATGTAACATTCATTACCATTAATGAGACATGCCACATTATCACGGGGTGCCTGCGCCCTACACCACTGGAGAAATTACACTGTTTAGCTGGTATTGCACCACCTGACATCCGCTGGGAAGTAGCAGCCAATAGTGAAAGGACCAAGGCAGTGACATCTCCAGCTCATCCCTTGTTTGGGTATTAGCCAGCACGTCAATGACTTAAATAAAGAAATAGTTTTCTAAGATCTACAGAGACACTCGCTGGAACACCCCAGCAAGCGAGAGTCCAAAAGTGGCAGGCTCAAACCCAGTACCTCAATCAGTGGCTGATACCAAATGAGAGACTCCCCCCCCTGGGCACACAGAAAACTGGGTGACTTGGAAGGCGCTGAACAGACTGCGCACTGACACCACGAGATGCAGAGCCAACTTCAAGAAATGTGGCTACAAAGTGGAATCCATGACATGCAAGTGCGGAGAAGAGCAAACCACTGACCACCTGCTGCAATGGAACCTGAGCCCCGTCTCATGCACAGTGGAGGACCTCCTTGCGGCAACACCAGAGGCACTCCAAGTGGCCACATACTGGTCAAAGGACATTTAATCAACTACCAAGTTTGCAAACGTTGTGTTTTTTAAAAATCTGTTTGTTTGTTTTGTTCTGTTAGAAATGTAATACAATGGTCTGGTTGCCCTGACACGATAAATAAATAACCATAGAAACAAAAAAAGAACACAAAGCCAAAGACTTATCAGCAGCCCCTCATATACACATACAGAGAGAGAGGGGGGGGGGTGCTTTGGATAGCATAGGAAGGGTTAATACCCCATTTTGCTGTCTGTGTCCCTCTTCAGAAGATTTCACCTCACTTTCTGTCCCTGTAATAATTGAATTTTGACAAATGTGCCTTGTTGTGGAAACAAGGATTGGCGATAACACTTCAGTGGAGACCCCTTTTCCCCATGAAAACTCTTTCAGGAGTAAATTTCCATTCCTAGGGGTAAATCGGTCCCTTCAGGGAGATAGGGTGGAATACAAATAAAGCATTTTTGTTGTTGTTTTTGTTGTTGTTAGAGTTCTCTCACTTTCTTTTGTCCCACCCCCGTTTTTAACTATGAGTCATTTGTAAGTCAGATGTTTGTAACTTGGAGACTGCCTGTACTATGCACATCCCACTCCTATTAAAATGGTGGCAGGATTATCAGAACAAGGAGTATCAGAATTGTAGCAGCCAAAACAAGGAGGAAAAAGCGACCCTTGTTTCTCCTACTGTAGTTCTGACGAAAAAACAATTACTCCTTTGAAGTTGCTCTTTGCACTGGAAGGAAATCTATCATTAATAAAGGTTACATGTTCCCCAAGAGCCAGTGTGGTGTAGTGGTTTGAGTGCTGAACTTAAATCTCTGACAGACTTATGTTCAAATCCTCATTAAACCATGTAAACTTACAAGTGACATTGAACAAATCCCATGCTTTCAATCTCGGGGTGTTTTTTTTGTTGTTATAATTGTATGTGGCTTGTTGCATGTTATATGTGCACCCTGGAGTGCCTTGTAAGCCACCTCGCATCCCTTTGGGGAGATGGTGGTGGGATATAAATAGGACACATGGCTGTGCAGGGTTCTCCTAAGAGCTGGCACAGCCATGTGTCAGACCTCCTCTTTGCTGGCCACCGTGACCTCCTGTGAAGGGGAGCATCCTGCAGGATACATGGCTGCATGGAGTTCTCCCAAGAGCCCCCCCTTATCCATGTGAGAAACCCTCTCTCCCCGCATGCCAACCACCCCCTGGCCTCCCCCTGTGCCAACTGCCTCTGACCTCCCTACCGGCCTGCCCAGGCCTATCCCGGCATGTGGCCCTCTTTCAAAAAAGTTTGCCCATGCCTGCACTAATCTACAAGTAGTAATCACTCTGCTTGTAAGATGCACTACTAACTCTTAAATTTAAAATTCCAGTGATGGTGTCTCTGCTATAAATACAATGCAAATAATGAACAAACATTTGTGGTCATGTTGCTTGTACATTTTAAGGAAGAAGCTGTACTAAATAGGTGTATTTTCATCTCTTTTACAGATACCAACGTTGTAAGGTACATCCAGCTGACAGAAATGAAGCTTAGCAGGTGTTCCCAGAGAGAAAAGGAAGCTTTGTGAGAAGAAATCCAGTTCTGAATGGACACTTCCTCCCGACAATACCCATGTGGTGGTTCCTCCACCCATATGGCTCAACCTACATTGACAATTTTTCTTGCCCGCTCCCCTCTTTACTTTTAAATGGAGCTCAGATGGGGTTTTTTGAACAAGAGAGTTAAACTTTGGGTCTGGCTTTGGCAATCTGGTGGCAGAACAACAACATTCCAGCCCTCCTAGCACAATTGCTACTGTCAACCAAGTTTTGGAAGTTTGACTGGAGGATTGAAGGGTACAAGGGAGGGAAATCTACTTTGCCTTGTCTTGCTTATTGCTTGCTGTTGCTGCAACCAACCAAGCAATTGCTCACCCTTTTTTTCAAATGATGAAGTGACAGCAAATAGAGAAAAATCTTCAGCCAGCTAGAGGGACATACATACTTTGGCGGCTTCCTTGCACTTGTAGATTTTCATGATCCAGAGAGAAGCCATCTGCTCAAAATCCCATGCCAATGAGGCCCATTTGCAATATGCTGTTTTTAAAACATGGGTGAGGGGATGAAATGTAGCTTAAGCAATGAGCCTTAAAGACTGGGAAGGCTTTGGAGACATGGGCAAAGCTGAAGGAGAATGTGAAAGGACACTGTGTTGTTTGGGGAATAAAACTGGAATGATTAATATTGAATATACATTGTTTAACAGGCAGCAATCCTATATACATACATACATATATATTTTTAGAAGGCACGCCTGGGCCTAAAGGAGTACATAAAGAAACAGCATGACTTTGTAACTAGTTTCAGCTCAGACTGTGGAAACTGGAGCACTGAATTATGGTTGTATCACCATCTTGATATGCACCTGTGGGCAAGTCACTTACTTTTTCCGTGCCTCAGTTTCTCCATCTGTATAGTGGGGATACTAATGCCCTACCTCACAGGGGGTGTTGTGAGGGTTTGTTAGTCAATGTTTGTACAGTGCTAAATATTATTATTGGTACACTGGACTGAGTTTGGAATCCTTACATCTTGTTCTTCTTGTCCATATTTAGAATATGAATGCCAAACTTCTCCCCAGGTCGATGCTGGTCTGTGAAACATGATAGATTTTTTTACAGAAGCAAAAGTTGAATGGTTAACCTGTTCTACAGATAGCTACTATGCTACATCTACAACAAAATGGTAATAATAATAACTTTATTTTTATATCCCGCCAACTATCTCCCCAAGGGGACTCGGGGCGGCTTACAAAGAGACAAGCCCAAAATATTACAAATAAAGAGACACAATTAAAATCAATGAATAAAATAATAAAACAAACACAGTCATAACAGCATAATTAAAAACAATATGGCTGAGATAAAGGAAACATAGCTGAGTTCAGGCTCAATGATTGCAGTAATTCCTAATAGGAGCCCATGGAAGGTGCTGAAGTCAAATGAATAGGGCTGGAGAATGCTATTGTCTAAAATGTCGAGGTAGCCTAAAAAAGGGTCAAAGTAAAGTGCAGAGCTTAAGGTGGGGACAGGACAATTTCTGGTGAACTGCCTAATCAAAGGCACAATGGAACATCCAGGTTTTTAATTCCCTCCAAAAGGAGGACAAAGTGGGAGCCTTTCTGATCTCTTAGGGAGGGAGTTCCAGAGCCGGGGACACCACCGAGAAGGCTCCCTCCCTCGTCCCCACCAGCCGCACCTGAGACGACAGCGGAAGAGAGAGCAAAGCCAAAAATACTCAGAGTTAGCCTGCTCTGGAGCTGCCCGTGATGTAGTAAGAGAAGTCCACACCATGGAAGCATTCTGGAGTCCCTTTGTAGTCTAGATAGATGGTTGGGATGACAGCACCAATGCCATGTCCTCCCATTAACCACCACCACTATCACTATTTTGCTGGTCAGCAGATAGATGTTCCAAGTAGCTCCCAAGCAGAGACTTTTGTCAACTTCACATCTAGTGAGATCACAACAGGGTGTCAAGCAATGTGATCACCAAAAGCAACGCTGCCAGCAAGGCTCCGCTAGGGAGCTGCTTGGAGCTACTTCTGGCCTGCAGTACAGTGATAGGTCTTTTTGATACATAGACACTGCATAGTCCTGCATCCAGCTGAATTCAGCTGCCCACACTTCAAAAAAACCAGGGTAACCACTGATTATTCTAGAAGTTCTGCAATAATTTGAGGTTCTCCTTGTGCTGAATTAAAGGCTGGAAGAAGCATTTCTGCTGCAGAACCAGCTGTATCTCGCGTGGAGTGCTCACAGTGGTTGCAAGGTGAGTTCATTTTATTTGGCCTGAGTAAGATCTGAAGCATGGGTTTTCTGGTCTGCTACTTAGGATTTTTAATGAGAAATACTTGCAATCAAACATGGGAAAGAACACACTCTTCAAAAAATAGATAATTATGGGTGAAAAAAACAAGTCTTCTAATTTATATAGATTTTCTTCTGTCATCAACGTGGGAGTCTATTTACTCTACATAATTATAGGACTTTTATTTATTTATTTGTTTATTTATTTATTGCCCGCCTTTCACAACCCCATAGGGGACTCAAAGTGGCTTACATATATAGGCAATGATTTGATGCCATGTAAACATACATACATAATAAAATAAGCATATAAAAGCAATCATTAAAAACATATCAAACCTTAAAACATTTATTAAAATCACATTAACCAAAATCATAATCCATGGCCATTCCTAATTGTCATTGCACTATTCCATAAATCTTTAGTGGGTTACTAACAGAACACTTGGCCCCACATCCACGTCTTTAGGTTGATCTGATTTCATTAGGGAGGGAGTTCCATTACCGAGGACCCACCACTGAGAAGACTCTGTCACTCATCACCATCAGCCGCACCTGCAAAAGAGGTGGGACTGAGAGCAGGGCCTTCCTGGACAATCATAACCTAGCTGGCTCATTGAGGGAGATATGTTCAGACAGGTAAACTAGGCCAGCACTTTGAATTGTACTGGGTATCAGAGAGGCAGCCAGTGATGCTGACGTAACAGAGGAGTTGTATGTTCCCTCTATCCTGCTCCGGTGAGAAATTAGGCTGCCGTCCATTGGGCTGTTTGAAGCTTCCAAACAGTCTTCAAAGACAACCCCATGGAGTGCATGTTTTAGTAGTCTATTCTTGATGTAATCAGAGTGTGGACCACCGTGGCCAAGTCAGACTTCCCAAGGTACAGGCACAGCTGGAGCACAAGTTTTAATTGTGTGAAGGTTCCCCTGGCCACCGCCAAAACCTGAGGTTCCAGGCTCAGCGATGAGTCCAGGATCACTCCCAAGCTGAAAACCTGTGCCTTCAGGGGGAATATAACCCCATACAGCACAGGCTGTAACCCTATACCCTGTTCAGTCAGGAATCTTGTCTGGATTCAATTAGTTTGCCCTCATCCAGACCGTTACAGCTGCCAAGGACCTGAACAGCTTCCTTAGCAGCAGGTGGAAAGGAGTAATAGAGTTGAAGTCATCTGCATATAGATGACATCGAACTTCAAAATTCTGGATGATTTCTCCAATTGTTTCATATAGATGTTAAACAACATGGGGGGGGGAGGGCAGTATTGAGCCCTGTGGGACCCCACAAGACAATGGCTGTGGGGCTGAGCAGGTGTCCTCCAGCAACACCTTCTGAAAGCAGTCCTCAAGGAAGGACCGGTGCTACTGTAAAACAGTGCCCCCAAGCCCCATATCAGTGAGGTATCTCAGAAGGAAACCATGGTCAACGGTATCAAAGGCCATTGAGAGGTCCAAGAGGACCAACAGGGACACACTCCCCCTGTCAAGTTCCCAACACAGATCATCCACTAAGGTGACCAAGGCTGTTTCAGTTCCATGTTGTGGCCTAAAGCCAGAATGCGCTGGATCCAGATAATCAGTTTCTCCAAGAACACCTGGAGTTGCGAGGCCACCACACGTTCCATGACTTTGCCCCAAAAGGAGAGATTGGAAACTGGCTGAAAGTTGTTCAATTGAGTGGGGTCCACTTAACTGCTATGAAAGCAGACTAGGGTTCTCTAACTGTTACAAAATGAATTAAAATGGAAATGTTTCGAAATGGTTTCTTTTAACTGTTCTACCTTTCCTGCTTTACTTCCTTCTCTCAGGAGGCTGTCTAGGTGAACAAAGACACACTGTTTTAAAAGTGCTTAAGAGAACCAAAGAAAGCATCCTACTTCAAACACAGGCAATTACTACATAGCATGGCGCTTTTTCTATTAATATTTGCTGTAGGTGGGAATGAAAGAACACCTGCAGATATAATAATATCAATCCTGTTTGCAATTGGGAAGGCGTGCCCTTCTATCAAGAGATGTAGATGTGTAGGTGGTTGCTTGCACATGCATGCATGTACGTGCTGAAAGAGAGAGCTTTTCAAACTGAAAAAGCTGGAGCAGAATGGGTATCTTCTGACCAAAAAGGATGCCAAAATAGTGGGAGGTGTTAGGGACACTTGAGAGCAATGTTTCCCTCTTGTGTCGAGCTTCATTTTTCAATTATCTGTTTTTTTTCTCCCTGCTAGAGTTACCAACAAAGATGAGAATGAGTCATCATGGTGTTTTGGGGGAGATGACCTTGGTTCAATATAGTTCAGACTCATATGTTGACAATTTTCCACACTGCACTATCCTTCCTACATAAACCCACACATTTCTCCAGATGTTGGCATTAAGCATGTAGTTGAAATATATTGACATTTCTAACAAAACTTGTTTCTGGGAGGAAACCCACAGAGCAATCTTCCTCCTGAATTTGCTTAGCAAAGACAGTTGGGGGGGGGGGGGCGGATTTTAAGTTAAAGGTGGGTGCTGAGCACAAAGGTTTCCTCCTTAGGTCCCCACCCCTTCCAAGCAGCAGTAGTTTACAAGGGTAACTGATTTGTCAGACATCTCTTCTCCCCTTCCCCCCTCCAATCTCTAATTTTTGACAACCTGAGACAGACAGCTCAGAACAAAATCAGGGAGAGTTAGCTTACCAGGGAAATTGTAAGAGTCAGCTTGTTCGGGGAACCTTGCAGAATAATATATAGCAGTATTTCAGCATTTTGAGTACAGCTTGCTGTGCAACATTATGAAAATAACCTTTTATCCCTTCTATCCTATCACCCAGAATCCAGAGACTGTTTTGATGAGAGATGCTTTTGTAAATAGATTTGCATCCATCAGCAAGAACCACTATTGTGTTTGGAGTCAAACACCTGCTAAAGGCATATGACTGCCAAAAATTATGTCAAAAATAGGATTTTATTTGGGACATTTTCCCCCAATACATCAACAAAGTAAGAGCTTTGATAATTTTACAAATAAAGCCTGAGCATCCTTTATCTGAAATTCCAAAATACCCCAAAATCCAAAACTGGCCACATGGGGAGCTGAAATAATGGCACCTTTGCTTTCTAGAAGTTCTATGTGCACAAACTTTGATTAATTCACAAAACAATTAAAATATATACAAGTACCTTTAGGCAATGTTTTAAAGAGTATGTGAGGATATGCTTACATGCACCTCTAATGTTTGTCGCTCTACTTTCCCTGCCAAAGAGCTTTGTTCGTAAACTTCCTTAACACCCGCATTTTTCTGGCATTTCCTTATGGGTGCCTTAAATACTGCCCTGCTTAAATTATACCTATTTATCTACTCACATTGCTGTTTCTGAAACTGTTAGGTAGGCAGAAGTTGGGCTAAAGGCCAGGAGCTCACCCTGGGCTTCAAACTGTCAATCTTTTGGTTGGCAAGATTTACTGCAGCTGGCGGTTAACCTGCTGTGCCCAAGCCTGGCACAGGTCACCCCCTTCCTATGGGCACCAGGAGAAAATTCCACATTGCATTTGGGCCTCAGGATTATTGCTTCTCCCAGATAAAATAAAACCCACTGCATTAGTGGGTTATCAGGAATGTCTTCTATCTGGACAACACAAAACTTAGATTTTAATATAGTATAAGATTATCATGCCTCTTATATCATAAACTCATGATTTTTTTAATTGCACAACATTACCC